TAATTAAAAGGGATTACACAAATGCAAAAAAGTCATAAATAATTTATAATAGTTTTAAAGAATTGTGAAGGATAAGTTTTATATTTGATTAATTATACTCTTTTATTAATATAATATGTAAGTTCAATACCTAAAAAATTGTTATCTTGTCAGTTATCTTTACCGAAAGGTAATAAGATTTAATAAACATACAAAGATATTTATATATATTGAATAATTAATAAAATAAACTAAGTTAAATATATAAAAAAAAAATAAAGTTGCTATTTCACTAGGTAATAAAATTACTATGTCAATAAAATTGCCAGATCTGTAGGTAACTAAATAGATATTTTTGATTTACATAATTATCAAAGATAATAAAATTGATATCTAAGGATTTACATAATAATCGATAGCTTTCTAATCTACTAATTATTTTTATCTAAATTTTTAACTATTATAACATTGAAATACATATCTTTTTTTCTTATAAAATATGTTATTAGATCTTGTAAAAGTGCTTCATCTAAAATAAAATAGGTTTTATTTATTACTCTAATAACATTTTGAAATTCATTAATAACTTAAAATTCTTTATAAATAGCTATTCGATTATTGCTATAAGGCCATTAAAAAATTCTAATTTTTTATTTTTAATAGCTTTAATTACATGATTAATTTAAAGAATTACTATACTTTTAGATACTTCAAATTAAGAAAAATACTAAAAATTTCATCTTTAAAACCTAATTAATAAAGAAATACTGCCAATTGAAGTTCAACTAGTGCTTATGATTTATTTTCTTTGCTTTGAAAACTTATAAATTTTTTATTAGCTTATTAAATTGTTATTATTTTATCTGTAGGATTTTTTTAAAATGTATATTATCATATAAAAGGTAATATTTTATATCACTATTGTTGAAATTTAGAAATATATATGTAAGAAATAAGATATTTTGAGGATGACAATCCAAAATATATTACTTTTATTAATTCAAAATTATTATTTATTTCTTTTTCATTGTTATAAAAAGAAAATTCTAAATCTGTTTTTTATATTGTTAATAAAATTAAAGCATGATTTATTTCTTGTTTTATTGATATAAAGTTAAAAAAATTAAAAAAATTGCTAAATGGAATGGATTAATAGAATTTTTCTACTCAATATGTACTATTTTTGATAGTTAAAAATAAATTCATAAAAAATTGAATTGAAATAAAAATGAATAGGACTACTATACAGGAAATTATAAAAAGTATTGGTCACCCAACATGATACAAGTGAGATGCATATTGTCGCATCCCTTTCAAATTAAGCTGCAGTTTTTTTTTATTTTAAGTTACACATGATTGTTATGTAAATGATCAAAATAAAAAAAAATCACCATTGTATAACATAAAGTTGGTCATATGGTCATATGAAAAAAAACTTTTTATTAGTGAAAAAAAATTTACTGCAAGGATGTGTCATGAAAAGGAACCTAGTAAGGGCTAAAAAGAAGCTATTATTACAGCTAAAAAATTAAGATACACAAATACTAGGATTTCTGCAATTGTAAATTGCTCTCGTTCCTCTCTTTGACGTGTTTAGGAGTTATATGAGCTAAAAAGCCTTTCAAATAAACATTTAGATTAATTACAAATTCTTAACGAAACTAAACGCAAATATCTCAAAAGTTTGATGATTAAGAATAAAAAATCTTGTCGTCAAACCCTTTCTCAAATACGTTTAAATTCTATAAACGAAACAAACAAACCCATTTTCATACAAACTATTCGATGATTAGCCAAAGAAATTTCCATTTCTGAATTTCTCGTTTCAGTCCTTTAATTTTTGAAGTAATAAAGAAAAACGTTATTTGTGAGCCTATACTTACAAAAATTGTGTAGTAAAAGATTTCAAATGAGTTGTCTAGTTGGACAAGAGTACCTACACAGAATTTAGAACTTCAGGTTTTAGACGAGTGTGATGCGAACCTTCTGAAGAGTTTCATGAAGACTGCATTATAGCTACAGTCTAAAAGAGCTTTGGTCACATATTCTGGAGGTATTTTTCCTAGGTTGTCTTGGGTCCTTTGGTCTCCTTAAAAGGTCATATTACTAGAATTATGCATTGTGAAGTTTTGGCTAATTATATCATTCCTACAGTCAAGTTTCATGCAAAAAAGGTCAAAAAAAGTTTTTTTTTAAGAAGACAACACATCGCAAGAGTTGCACGTTCATTTCTTACTTCCTCAAATGTTGAGGTGCTTCTCTAGCTGACCCAAAGCCCTGATATCAACCCAATAGAAAATATATGGTCATATATTGAGGTCAAGATCCATTAACAAGATTCCCAGCCATCAAGTGTTAGGCAGTTAGAATAGTAGATTAAAGAGGAGTGGGATGCAGTATCCGTAAAATATTACCATAATTTAATCAAGTTAATATCGCATTGAGTTCAAGCTGTTCTTGCGGCTAATAGAAAACTAACGAAATATTAACCTGTATTTGATAAAAATAAAAAATAAAGAATTATTAAGTTAGTTATTTCGTGAAATGTTTTACAAAGTGGCTAATACTTTTTATATCCCTCTGTATATCAAATAGTTTAGTATATAGAGTAAATATCATATAATAAACTCATTTTATACTGAAACTAAATTTACAGAATAGAGGATTCATTATATCCAGTGGTGACTATATATAGGGTTAAGTACTTCATTATATAAAATATTACTTTTTTAAAAGTTTTTACTATTACCTATAAAACTCTGATATTTTAATATGAAGTTACTTATAATAAGATAGTATATATTTAACATTGAAAAAACAGATTCAGAAAGATAAATACCAACTTGATTTAAAGTATTGATCCTTATTATAATGAAACTTTAATTACTTCTAATATCTCTTATCATTTAAACTAACTATCTTAAATTATAAATATTTATCCAAAATCAGAAATACTAGTGTTCAAATATTTTATTTAATTATGATGATATTAGGTTTTGAAAAACTTTAAGAATAAAACAATCAACATTTTGAATAATAGTAAATAAAAATACAAAATCATGAAATTTTTAATGATATTTCTCAAAGAAGAAAGGTTCCAGTAGAAAAATAACTTACTGTAGTTTTACATATATTAGATGGAAAAGTAAACTAAAAGACAATTTTTCCAATATTTAATTAAAAAATTACTGTAATATTTTGATCTTTAGTATTTTATTCTAATTTAATTCTTTTTATAAATAATTTAAAATCTCTTTTTAAATTCCTTAAATGATATGTTTTATAAATTAAAAAAAATTAAATATATGATCTAATTAAATAGAAATTCTGATGATCCGCAGCTACCCCCCGTGACTCTATTTCAAGCCCGTTTGAGTTGACCAATCATGCCTACTAGAACTATTCCTAATGAGCAACTTGTCAACAAAGAAAGCAAATGAAATTGTCAGTATCGCAACACTTTTCCTTTAACTAACTACTAATCCTTAACAACTACACTGACCGTCATCTTAAAATGGTAAATGGATTTACTTTTAGCAAAAATGAAATGTAAATTTACGAGGTCATGCAATTCAAAACTTTTTATACAAGTAATCTAAACGTTATCGACCAACATAGATTTTTTTTTAGTTTGGAGCATTATTAGTCCAGAATGAAGTGATGGACTATATATGTCTACGCAAAGTATCCTGATGTTCGCCCGCTCAATAATTGAGTCGATGCTGATTGACTTTTCAATTGCACAAAAGTCTAGATAAATTTTCAGAATTAACAACGGTCCCTGTTCTCTAGAATGAAGTGAAGGACTATATATGTCTACGCAAAGTGTCCCGATGTCTACCCGCTCAAATTGAGTCGATGCTGATTGGCTTTTGCAATATTTTTTTTAGTTAAGATCATTCTGGACTTAATAACGGTCTCCGTTCCCTAGTTATATTATAGATAACAAGATCTAAATTTTTTTAAATTTAAGGAAAAAAAAAAGCCCTCAATAAATAGTTAGTAATTACACATAAATTAATATAAGTGTCGGTAACTCTTTTAGAGGGAACGACTTATTCTTAATTAAATATAATATGAAAAGAAAAACTCCTGACCCAAGTTGTGTTCGTCTTTCCGCCGCTAGTAACCCATTCTTCGGAATTTTAGCAAGAGCGGAACTCCCCTTACTTTAAAAAATTTCTCGGTAAGCCGCTGACCCAGGTTATTTTTTTTTAAAAAAAAGTAAATTTCCTTATAAGTAAAAATTAACAAACATCAAATGTTATCAAAATTAGCGAAATATGGATCGAGCAACCGCAAATTTTAAAAAATGGTTGGCCTTAAGATCGAAAGATAATCAGTAAAAAAAAAAAAAGTTCGGTCAAAATAATATTTAGAGAATTTTTATAAAATTTATAGGCTTTTTCACTGCGACGTGAAAACTCTTATTGATGGATCAAAAAGTAGCATCGGTGCCTCTATTGCAGAGGATTTACATTACCACTTCTAGTAAATGATTATTTGAACGTGCGATTTGAGTCCTTATTTTCAGCAATGTTAAGTTATCCATTATATATGATTCGCACGTCGCACGAAAAAAAAAGAGAATTTCCTTCGGGCAGAGCGCTCCCGATATCTACTGCGCATTTCGGGTGATCAGTCCACATGACGGAATTTCCCGCCTCGCTTTATGCTTTTACAGTTACTATTGGAATTTATTATGATAAAGCCAAAAAACTATTGAAATTTTTTACAAAAATATTACTTATATAATTTAACTATGAACTGTGTGAGAAGGGCTGAAAGTTTTTTGATCCATATCACATAAATCAAAATTGCATGCAGACTAAAAATACTTTATTAATAGTTACATTACAGCAATAAATAACTACTGTCTACATAAGAATTACAAATAATACAACCACATCATTTTTGTTGTAAATAATAAAGATTGCAATATACAGTAAAATAGAATCTTATATCAAAGAAATATTTCATCCATATCTTCTTCATAATCTGGTAGATGTAACCACTCCCCTTTAATTTTCAGAACAATTATTAACTGGAATAAAGGAACGAATTTTCCTTTGTAATTTTTCTTGTTCTACGAATTCATTTCGAATAACTGCAAAGAAATTAAAAATCTTCATGTAACATGTGATAGCGTCAAAAACAAATGGAATTATGCAAGAAGCCAATTCAACTGCTAAATATTTCCTTTTGTCTGCTAAAGAAACAGAAAACAACGTAAGTCGACCTCATAAATTGAATGCTGTAAGTTTGACATTCTTGGCGTCTTCAATGTTGCAATTAAGGCTGTTACCAAGGAGTCGACATAAACTATATATAGCCATAATTAATAGCTTTTTAACATCGCCAGCCGGGTGTTTTTTTTGTAGTTCTATAGGGAGGTCCAAACACTTCGACATTCAGAAACTCTCTTGCATCTGACAATCTAAGAATGAGTAAGTCCGATTTTTTTTTCCCAAGATTACTTGTTAACATGATATTCACCTCTTTTATGGATCTTACATTCTTTTCTACCCAAATATATTTTACATCAGGAAATGCTTTGCGAAACGCGAGAAGAATTGGTGACAGAACTTCAATGATGTGAGATCGTTCAAGCATATCGCGATCCAAAACTTTTGGCATCATAAACTTAAATTTTGAGACAAAGTCTAATAACGCATATCGAACGAACGAAGAATATAAATCTATCTTCATCTGATGTTCGATTATCGTCAATCTTTGTTTCTGAAATTATTTTAGATTCGATTTCAGAATAACTTGACTGAAATATGTTATTAAATATGTTATTGAGCTTGTTGGCTATTGTATCATCAATAGCCCATTTGTTTCCCATCTGGAGTATGCTTATATTTGTTCTCCAATAGTTGCCTTGTCAAGATAAAGATGAATCGTTGAATTGAAAGCACATATTATATGTGCAGAAGAAATTCATTATATGTAGCCTTTGGTGATAATTAGGCGTCCTTATTAAAGTATTTAGACTGAACGTGTTGGACTTGGACATAACGTGTTTTCACGAGAACTAGAGAAATCACGGACATATTGTGATCTTATGCTTTTGTTCTTGATAGTTTTTCAAAAATAGGTTAGAATTGGATGATTTATATAAATAAATATAATCTGGTAAAAAAAATAATTACAATACCTTAGATATGTCTAAATTCCTAAATCTGAATTTGAGCTTGAGAATTCAGTTACCGTCATCGGTGGTGTTAAATACAGTGTGGCAGATTGCTGAGATTCTGTCACGGTGAATAACGAGTATTACTTTCTCTCCTTATCCTCTAGGGTTCATATTCTGGTTCATCAGATTCGCAATAATTTGGGATATTTCTTCCGTGTCTAGTTTGACGTTGCTTTTGATTGTGGCGGTATATCAAATAAATTCATAAAGTTTCTAAATACAAACAAGACAATATAAAGGTCATGCAATTAATCAACTTTGAAGAACTGATCATTACTGACTCCTTATAGGTACGCTTACTCGACTCATCCAACAAGCGCTTTCTAGTGATCCCTTTTTGTACCGAAAGTCACTGATCTCGGATCTATATCGAATCGATCCAAAACATGTCGAGTCTAAAATGGAATGAGCTTTCAGGCATTATAACATCAAGATTAGGCGTAATTAGATGTAATATACTAACCTATTCGAGACAAATCCGGTCCTTCAGTTCGTTCTTCATTTAAACAATGTTGTTAGAAGGTATAGAAAGTATAGAAAGCACAAAGCCACTCATTTCGAAAAACTTACTTGTTCCTTCTAACCAATTTAAGCTCCATAAGAATGTATTGTTGCTTAGCCTGCATATCCCAAAACTATTTACTTCCTTTGAATTTTTTTCGTCCTTACAAAGATTGAATTAAATGATAATTAATAATCGTCTTGCATGTAAAGAAAATATGAAAAAATTTCAGAAACACCAGTGAAAAAGCACGCAGCCTTTCCCTTATGAGCACGTAGCCACAAAGTAGTTCACTCAAACACTGTACACTAACCAACAAGCACGCAGCCTTTCCCACTGCCAGCATGCAGCCAACAGGGTAGTTGGTGACAGTACAGAATACTATTTACAATACTGCTCACCAACAATCACGCAGCCTTCCTACTACCAGCATGCAGCCAGCAGAGTAGTAGGTGGCAGTATAACCTATCTTTTTACCTGAAAATTCTTTAACATCTGTTGCACTTCTTTCCCAATTTCAGATGTTTAACACTGATATTTGAGAATAGTGCTTAGTTCACCGCGTATCGATTGTGCTCCGTTTCCTCTTGTTCCAAATCGCCTTCGTATAAACGGTAATCAAGAAATTTTTAAGTGAAGGTTTCTCCGATTGCTCCGCATTTTGACTTACCACAGTATTTAAGAACATCGAAACATTCGGGCAGTAGTTGCATATCAGGTGATAAGCGTGAAGAATCTTCACGTTACTTTTATTTATACATTCGAGTGATAAAATACGTGCAAGACCAACCCATTGTACATGAAGTTTCTATGCTATGATCGCGAGCTTGAGCTGTTACAGGTAAGACAATATTCCAACTTATCTTGGGAATACAACTTCGCTAATAAGGGAACTGATTCCCATTTTCGCGGTACCATGAGCAATAAAATCTCACTAAGTTTTTTTTTACCATGGCACTGTTCCTCCTTTATTATATAGTATTGTAATCAATAAACTAGGAATAAAATTAAAGAATTTCCAGTTACGCGAAACGAATACATATATATACATATGACCCAAACACTCTAAAAAATAATAAAGCCTATAATTAGTCGTCGTAATGTTCACTTTTCTCAATACGTTTTTTTATTTCAATTACAATTACAATCTGATAATTTATTTTCTCATGTTTGTTATAGGGAGGCAATATATTAACCGAATTTTATTTTAACCTTGCGAATTTAAGAATTTCGTCCCTAATAGTTGTCATGAATGGCGCAATGTCAAATGATACAGATGACGTAGCATAATATAGTGATAAAAATAAATAAGGGTAAACTTTGATACTTTGCATAGCTTGCATGAGAATAAACTTGGTTTCATCCTGCAAATATAATGAATTAAGCAGAATGACCTGACAAATTTGATACTTCAAGAATTCCAACGTTGAAGTAATTTTCATGACTTGAAAATGGAGTGGAAATGGCACAATAAATTTATTCAAAATATTTACAAAATATTTATTTGAATTGATGATAAAATTATTAATTATTTTCTTCTTCTTTGATGAGATTTTAACGAAGAAATGCAGATTAAATAGCAAAAATTAAAGATTTAAAAATTTTTTTATTTTTTTAAAGACAATTATAATTTTCTGTTCAAGTCTAATATATGTTTTGAGTTAATTAAATTTTTTAACGCGTAAAGATAACCCTAGGTTTCGAAATTGAAACTAGTTTTATTTTTTGTCAAATTTTTTTTTTACTAAAGGAAAAACCGCGAAGGCTTCGAAGAGTAAAAATCATCAAAGCTACACTTGTAATTCAAGTGTAAAGCAAAATATTTTACAGTAGCATTATGATATATCAATTTCCTTTTTTGTAATCCATTTAAATTTTCGGATCTCGAAATCCGTGGGATGAACAATTTTAATTTACTTACTAGGAAATGTGAAATTCATTCAATTCAAAAAAAGCCAGATAATGATGATAAAAAAAAATAAATAAATATTACTAAATGGATTCTGACGAAAATTTTTTGATATCCTTAAACAAAAATTTTTATTTTCCATAATGGGGTTTTCAAATTTTCAATCAATTAAATCTAAAAAATTCATCGCAATTATCGTATTGTCATTGTTATTACACCTGACGTTATGTGATATTCAATACTTAAAAAGTATTAACGAAGACTTTGAAAATGATTTAACATTTGAAGAATATAATTCAAATCCAAACGGAATGATTTTATTACGATTTTCTAAAACCAACAATAATAATATATATTTAAGAATCGTTCCCGTAAATGGATCTACTATTTATATTACAGTAAATAAATCATTTCCTACCTCAAAAATGAATACAGTTATTTTAAATGAAGAATATATTTTGATATTGTATGCGGTAAAAACCAATACATTTGGGTTGCTTTCGTCATGGACCGGAAATATAATTGAGTGAGTCTGTATAAAATTATGTATAATTATCTCGCAAATTCAAAATATTTAACTTATATATAATTAAAATTTAAGTATTATTGATCTTGAAATTGTGTGGTATGATACTGGGCCAAAAAGTACTGGACCGAGCCTGTCGTACGGCTTATTTATTAACAAAGACGTATTCTCGTTTGCTGGTGTCAGAGAGAATGTTGTTATTTGGAAAAGGTTTAAACTTCCGAATATATCGGATTCTAATGATAGAAATGTAATACTTATAACCGAAGGGAGTTTTTCAAATCCGTTATATAATTTAACATTAAATCCGATTCCTAGAGTGAAATATTTTCAACTTATCGATGGCGGATTTGGATTTGCCATAAGTTATCGTAATGAAAAAAATGGATATAAAATCGATGAAATTTACGTAAACTTTTTGGAAGCTGATGCAACTGAACCGTTAGGACCTTATTTACTAAATTCATTCAAAAACGAATCAATTCGTATCGAGGTTGATGGTATACTTATTTTATTATAATTCATTTGTATTAAAAGCAAATAATAATATATTTACACTCACTTTCTACAGGTTGCATTAATAACTTTGATGGTACCGGATATACATGTACTACTTATGAGGAAGGTTCCGGAAGTTCCCAAATTCGTTTTCTCTCAACTGGCGCAGTTATGTCTGTTGGTTACACCAATATTGACATTTATAGTTATAATTTTGGATCGTTTTTTTATCCCAATTTTTATGGCGGATATATTGGCTTTATCGTCAACAACAATGATAATAAGATTGATATTTATGATTATTATGGGGTCATATCTAGTAGTGAAATAAATAAATATAATGGCAGTTCATATAATGTAAAAAATATAAATGTAATTCAAAAACAAAATGTTTTTTGGATTTTACAGGTGTTTGAAGATAACGATAATTACGCAATCAATTACTATTCTTTAAATACTATTGATCCATCTGGTAAGGTTTTATAATATTATTAAAATCAATAACACCTCGATAACTTCATCATCTTTATTTTATAGATTATCGTTACATATTTCAAAATCCAAATATTAATAACACGTCACCAAGTATCAATGATACCATTTATTTACCAAATGAGAATTTACAATTGAAGATAAATTACAATCTTCCTGTAATTTTATCAACTGGAAACTTGACGATATATCAGTATGACGAGAAGGACAATTTGATTTTAAGACAGATAATTTCTGGACAAAATTATGATTATTGTAATGTGCTTAACGATACAGTGTCTGTCAAAATTTTACCTAGCACATTTCACAAAGGCTATGCTAAATTTGGTGTTCGAGTTGATAATAATTTTGTCAAGTCTCGAAAGACAAAAGAACCTTTACTCGGAATTTCAGAAAATATATGGACATTTTCAACTCGTAAGTTTGAATTATAGAACTTCTTTAATGAGTTAAATTTATATTAATAACTTCGTCAACATTTACATTAGAATTAAAAGAACAAGATGAACCA